CAACTGGAGGGTCCCCGCCGGGCACGAGCGCAAGATCGCCGCCAAGATCCGCGCCACCCGGGCCAAGCGACGGCGGCAGCAGCGCCCGGGAGCCGGACCCCGATCCTCTCCCAACAAGGTCCTGAATACCTCCCCCCCTCCCTTCGAAGTCAGGATTCCAGCTCCCATCATCCCCAGCCAGCCCAGCCCTCAGGATTGAGGAGGAAGGGAGCTGCGCGTCGGAAGAGCACTCCGTTGGGTTAGGGCGGGGTCCTTTTAACCCTTTGCATCCAGATGGGCAGGACTACAGCCCCCATCATCCCCACCCTGAAAGTTACAGACGATCCCATGGGGGGCATCCCAGTTGCGAAAAGCCTGCATGCCTTGAGTCACTGCCCCTCAGGTAGACTGGACTACAAAGCCCATAATTGCACCGGGTGGGTGATGCTTCAGCTAGGGCATTGCATACCAAGTACGTTTCCCAATTCTTCACAAACACACATATAACTTTTTGCAAATCCATTGCCCTGCCCCTCTCCCCCCCTCGTTGAGCCAAAGAGAAGTACCCTGCTCCACTTCACTCATTTCGCAGGCTAAATGAATTGTAATTTAAATGCAATTTAAAATCCAGGAGTTCCTTTTGAGATATCTCCGTTGGTAACGTTGGATGTCGTGAGGCGCCTCTAAAGGACAAAATGCATCCCAGGAGATAAAGTAGGTCTCCTGTATCCACTGGAGATTGTTTCCAAGACCACCATGGTTATTGAAAACCGTGGATAGCAGTGAACAGGAACGTGCACGCACGGTAGAAAAAAAACATTATTTTCACATGCGTTATCAAAACTGGCCACAAGAGGGGGGCAGAGACCATACTATGTGTTCTTCCAGAGCTAGTAGTCATAGCACAGTCCCTGCTGCCCTCTAGTGGCCACGTGAAAACTTTTTCTGGCCTTTTTTTCTCTACTGTATACAGTATTTTGAATACAGTATTTCGAACTGTGGATAAGTGAATCAGTGGTTACTAATCCGGTGGATAAGGAATGTTACTATACAGGGTGATGCAAACACAACCCCTAGAAGCTATGGGTGAGAAGCGGAGGTATTCTCTATGGCTCATGCCTTGACCCCTATGGATGAGTGGTACTTCACTCCCCCATCATCCCCAGCCAGCATGGTGACTGGGGAGAGTGGGACATGTAGAACACCCATCTTTAGGCCAGACTATTCAAGATGGCTATTCATTTTCTCACAGGTTGCAGAATCCGTCGACAGCTGAGCGCCTTCCCGTTCTTTTTCTCCAACTGCAGCTGCTCCATGGTTGAAGAAGCCACCTCCGGGTGACGCCCTTGGACTACAAAACCTTATCCAGTTTCAGCCACTTGGTGCACTGTGCAAAAGGACAGCGGGTGCTTTGTTCCACTTGCGTTCAATAACACGGAAATCCTTCACACTTCTGCCTCCTCTCTTCCATGATTGCATTTTCCCCCTAAATGTCTTTTTAAAAACATTCCCCCCTACATCAGTGGAGACGTAGACAGGGCGCTGTCCTTCCAAATTAAAGATGGGGGCATGATCAGAGACAGATATCTCACTAGTTAGTCGGAGATTTAAAAAATTTTGGGGGGTCAATGGGATGCATCGGTGATACGATTCCATAAAACAGGGTTATAGCCCTGGACTCCAATTCCAGTCAGCCTCTGAAAGTGTTGAGGAAGGATGGGAGTCTACCATTCTCTGGAAGGCACTGGGTTCCTCACTCCTTTAGCCAGAGTGGCCCGACCAGCCCGCAGAGACCTGTGTGACTTTGTAGCATAACAGTCCATCATCCCTTAAAGTCGGCTGGTGGTCAGCGGCTGCAAAAATGTCCCTTTGGGATGTGATATTATAACAGGCGCTCTTCTCTGCATCATGGGGGGCTGAATTATATCTTAAATCAGAGATTGCTGAATGTTTCCAAGGATGTCCGGAAGCCGAGATGCAAAGGAAAGTCCTGGGTATTGAAAGATAAGAGTGCCTCGGGATGCAGAAGTTTTGTTTTATCCATCAGGGCTAACACGTTATCAGTCGTTTTTCATGAACTACGTTGACCGTCTTTGTAAAGCACCCCACTGAGCTGGGGTTGTTGCTTTCACGCAGGCATCAGGAGCAGGCATTTAAGAAACTTAGGCCAACTTTTTGGTTGCCACTTGAGCGACCTCCCAGGGTGGTTGTGAAAATAAAGTAGGGAGACCAAGAATGGGTATGTAAAGTACTGTATCAATAAAACTAATAATTCCCTCTCAAGTGGGAACAAAGGCTGCCAACTGCATCATAAAAGGATGTCATTTTTACAGTTTTGGTTATTATATGGCATTTCTGCCTTTTAAAGTGAGCACTGTCCCTTAGGCTTAGAAATACTCAAGGTGAAGGGTATGTGGAAACACCTAAAAGCACCAGAATGGCCACTATTTATTTCCACTGCGGCCTGACAGGGACCAATTCAGCAGGTGTAGCTGCTGCTCCCTCACAAATAGAAATGTATCCCTTTGCCTCAGTACTTGGAGCCGTTATTTATTATTTATGTAAATTTAACAACAGCTCTACGTGTCGCGAACAAGTGTGGCCCTACAGTGCGGGGATAAGTAGTTATTGAAAAGTGACGTTTCTTTCCCCGTTGTCGTCCCCTTTGAAGGCTCTGAGGTAAAATTCCCACAGCGGTTCAAAATGGCCGCCAAATGAGGGTTTTTCGTTCTGCGCATGCGCCCCGCCTTCCCGCCTCGTAAAGATTCCTTTATGGAGGGTGGCTCCGCCCCAGGTGACGCGAAAGGGTGGAGCCAACAATGCTGAGGAGGATCTAGCAGGCGCAGGGCCGTCTATTGCGTGCCGGCGCCCGGCTCCGCCCTCCTTGCGTCGTTTAAAGCGCATGCGCTCGGAGTGGGGGAAGAGAAAGAGGCGTCTTCCGCTGCTGTGACCTTGACAGATCCGGGAAGCGGAAGTGGGGAGAAAGAGCCAGAAAGCCGCCTGCGGAGGTTCGAGGCAGAAGGAGAACCAGGAGTGAACCGTCGCCATGCCGAGGGGAAGCAGGAGCCGCACTTCGCGGATGGCGCCGCCCGCCAGGTGGGGGAAGGGACCCTTGGGGGAGATTGGGGGGGAGGGGCAGGACACGCCCTTCGGAGGCAGGGAGGAGTCACGTGCCCCCCTCTTGGGGGGAGGGGCAGGACACGCCTTTCGGAGGGAGGGAGGAGTCACGTGCCCCCTCTTACGTAAGGCTGGGTGTATGGGACCCCCCTGTGCCCCAAAATTAACGTTGGACTACAAATCCCAGTATCCCCAAGCAGCCTCTGGCCACGTGAGATGACCCGCCTTCGGACTCACAGATAGGAGATCTCCCCATCCCCCAAAAATATCTTTGTAATCACATCTGGGAGTGGGGGGATGGAGAGGCAACTGGATTACAAATCCCAGCATCCCCAGCCAGCCTTTTGGCCACGTGAGAGCTTTCCCCCGCCACCACCACTCGCAGAGAGGAGCTCCGTCCCAAATGTGTTGG